TAGGAACCACGGGAGAGGGGGCCCCCTCTGAGGAGCGAGCAAGGCTGTGCTGACGGGAACTATGCCCCTTCAGGCAGATCTCCAGCGACTTCTGTCATCACTGTCGACAAATCCTAAAAACAAAAAACCTTAGGCCAGAAGTGTGACACTCATGGTGCAACAAAAGAAGTTTATCCAGGGGTGCGACAAGGCAGCAGTGTAGGAGAACCCAAAGTCCACGCTGAGATCCCTGGGGAACGCATGCCCTGGGATTCGTTCAGGTGTCGCTCTGATGTGTGGCTTTTCCTTGGAACAAAGTTATATTTCACCTGTGGGCTTAGTTCTTTAGGGTTTTTGTAAAGACCAAAGTCACATGACTTAAACCCAAGCAGGGCAGGACCGGAGCCCAGAGCCTCGGAGCACACACTGGGGCTGTTCCTGGCTCTGGTAACACTGTTCCCGGTGTTTGGCCACACCCGATACCATATGTCTGCCGGGACCTGCCCCACCTTTACCTCTCAAAGTGGGCAAATGCTCACTGTGCTGTCAAATTGGTCTCTGTCGCCCTGTTCTTTTGACAATAACAACTTAAAAATGGCAAGTTATTTATCAACGGCACTCAACCTCACCCAGGAGTCTTGTGTTCAGCATTTAGGATTAGATTTCTTGCTTCCCACAAGCCAGCCAAGGTCCCATGGTGCTCAGGTGCCAGGCAGGAGAGAATGTATAGGGGCCGGAGCTGGCGAGTCAGAGTCCTCCAGAGGCTGGCCGTGCCTGTGTGATGTCACAGGGCTGTGGGAACGTGGAGTTCCGAGGTGAGCGGCCCCTCCCTGGAGAAGCCAAGGGAGTCATTACAAAGCCTTCATCCCTGCCACCGGCCGGGCCCGCCATCCCTAACTGCACAGCCTGGCCAGAAACCCCCTCACCCCCCGTCCCCAGGTTACCCTGAGTTTTGTCTCTAGAGGCTCCTATTAAAGCATAATTTGGCACACCCAGCGGTGTTCCCAGCAGAGAAGATGGCTTTGCGGGAGTCATCGCGGGAAGGACCCCAGCCCAGGAACGCACAGCTGCACAGAACTTCTTGGGGTCTCAAGGAGCTCCTGGACCTTGAGCAAGCACAGCTGTGCCTCGTGGTGCAGCAAAGACCAGCATCCCACCCTCAGGGCCCAAGGTCTGAGGAAGGGCTCTCGGTGTGTCGGGGCAGCCGCGCACATGAGATTGTGCCTGACCTGCAAGGGTCACAGGCGGTTACACTGGGCAACACTGCCCTGCAGGCGGAGTCACCCCGCTCACAGGTGGAGACACTGAGGCTCAAGGTCGCCCAGGTTGTCCCAGGTGGCCTGAGTCCCGAGCAGCCGGCCTGGAGCCGGAGCTGAGAGCACGAAGCAGGCACAGAGCGCAGGCGACCCGGAGGCCTGGAGAGGCTCCCTGACGCGGGAGCACTTCCTGGGTTCTCTCCACCCGGGCCTGCCCTGCTGCCCGCTACACCGCCTTCTGTCCCTGATGGAACCGAACCGTCGGGAAGGGCTGCCCCATCCCGCCCAGGAACCTGCCCGGCCCCTTCCCCCGCACGGCTCCAACCAGACCCTGGGGTCCCAGGTGACCCATGTCTCCCCTTCCAGGTGAAAGTCTGAATGAAGGACGAAGCCACACGCAGTGCTGCTTTGTGTAGCAGCTTGTGCTTTAATAAGTCAGCCAATGGCACTGCGTCCTGGCACTTCCTGTCACCACGACCTCTCCCCAAGGTGGCAGCTCCAGCGCTCCATCTGCTGCCTCCAGTGCGTCCAGAGAGCAGGGGCTCCCTGTCACCCTCAGCCTCGTGGAGCCCAGGCCCACGTGCAGCGCAGCCGCAGGGGGCTGCTCGACCCTCACACTCAGGCCCCAAGTCTGCGCCGAAGGCCTGATGTGCATCAAATCGCTGCAGGCTTGTTAAACGCGGATTCTGACTGGAGCTGAGAGGCTAGATTTCTCCCAGTGCCAAGGGAGGCTGGTGCGCTGGCCTGCGGACCACACTTTGAGAATAACGTTCTACCAACTGCACTGTCCAATACAGCAGTCATCTTTATTTTAAATTAAATTTAACTTTAAATGAAGTTAAGTTAAACAAAATTTAAAATGCAGACCCTCTGTCTCACTAGCTAAATTTGAAGATTCTCCAACAGAATCAGAGCCCTTCCGTCACGGCGGGACGCTCTGCTGGACAGCCTGGTGGGGTGAGGACACAGGAGCAGGCAGTGGGGGGAGGGCTGCCCCAGGGCCGCAGCCCCGAGCCCGAGACGAGGCCACTCCTGGTGCTCTGGACGGGGCGTCCATGCTCCCATCTGAGCCCTGACCAGATACAGAGGGTTTCCGGTGGGAAGGGCGGGGCCAGACAGAGGCATCTGCAGGGTAAGTTTGGTGCCACCATCCACATCCCCAGCTTTCCCAGGTGACGAGAGAGGAGATGTCACCAGCATTAGTGAGAGGTGCTGGCTTCCCTGGGTGGGCGCCTCCTCCCCCACAGAGACCAGGAGAACCACCCAGTTGCCGATCCCTAGAACCACAGTAATGGGGTTATTGTATAAAGTCCCTAAGTTTGGGGGTGGTTTGTTAAGCTACCTGATACACTCCATTTGGGATAACCCCATCTTGTAAAGCAGACTTTCCCTCCCACCATCGGTGATGCAAACCGTGTGCTTCCCCAGCTTCCTTTACACGTAGGGCACAGACACGTTCAAAGCCACCATGGGCAGAATGTTCCCTGAGGGGTGCCTCTGTATTCGTGCAGTGCGCAACCTGTGCAGACACACAGGGTGGCCCTGGAAACCTAGGTGCCCAGACAGACTCGCCCCTGATGCTGAATGTGGAGGTCGTGCACGGCAGGGATGGCTACCCCTGCCTGCAGCCGGCAGAGGGACCCCGCGGGCCCGCGTTCAGCATGATGTATGGGCCTTGTTCCTTCCGTGTAGCGCCCCAGACATTCTCTAGTCTTTCCAAAATTCCTGTGAACTCCCCAAAAGCTTTCAACAAATTCCCTGTCTGCTTAAATTAGCCAGACAGATGTTCTTGATTACAGCTAAGAATCATCCTCTGTCCTCGGTCCTGATCTGCTGAATTAAACCAGGTTATGCCTGGTGACACCCCCGAGCCCTCAGCTGCCTCCCACCCCCAAGGAGGCAGGTGGGCGCACTGTCCAAACAGTCAGCAGAGGTGGCCGTCCCACATGGGCTGATGTGAGGGCCATCTTTCAGGTCTAGGTGAGGCGGGAATGTCCAGACAGAGGCTGCCCTGGGGAGAGCCGAATGACGCCTGTCACTAGCCTGGCTACCTCCTGCGGTTCTCGCCGCAGCCCCACTGACACCCCGCAGGGTGCCCAGGGCGGCAGGGCCGCTGGGACCGAGGTCAAGCGGCAGCCCTTTGCTGGAGCGTCTCTCCCGGCCGTCAGGGCGCACGGTGCTCCTCCTGGCTAGTCGGTGTTTGTCGGGCCTCCACGGTTGCGGCCCCCTGGGGACACACGCAGACCTGGATGAGAAACCACGCGGAGCAGGGCTGGGCGTTTCCCGAAGCCCCGGGTCTGGGCGGGCCGTCCTCCCTCCCTGCTGCCCTGTGTCTTTGTGCGTCTCACTCCCTCCTCGGGGTCTAACTGATCCCCACTCCTCGGTCCCTCTCTCTCTGTCTCTGTTACACACACACACACACACACAGGAACCCCAGCCTCTGTGCAGCCGGCACACTAGCGGCCTCGGACCCCTCCCCGCGCCCACAGCATCTTGTCGCAGACGCGCGTCCTCCTGCGGCCGCTGGGTGGCAGTGTGGACACACAGGTGCGCGCTTGCCCGCCGGGCAGCCCCGGGCTGTCTCTCGGTGCCCATCCATCTCACGCTCCACGGAGGGCTCTGAAAAGAACACGTACACCAGCTTTTCGGTCACGCCTCGCTGCGGCACCTAATAAATCCTGGCTCTCCCCTCCACAGACTGTCTCCCGCTGCTCCGCGGATCAGTTGCCGCAGCCTCCACCTCAGGCCCCGTCTGGAGGAGCTGGGGCTAAATTAGCCGCAGAGCTGCTGGCTTCATGCCAGTCGCTCACACCCTGTCAAATTCTCTTGGAAACCGTCGGGCCCTGCAGAGGTGTGTGGCCCAGCACAGACAAAGGCAGGCGTGTCTTTCCTGCGCTCAGTGTGAGCACAGAGTCTCTGAAGGGAGCTGAGTGGAGGTGGGGCAGGAGGGGGCGGGAGCAGGAGAAGGTGGGGGCAGGAGGGGTGGGGGCAGAAGGGATGCAGATCAGCGCCCTTTGGTCTAGCCTGAGAGTCGAGAGAACAGAGATGCTTCCATCCCGCCTCCTCACCTGCCAGTGAGGAGCAGAGACCCAGCGAGGCGCGGGCTGGCCCTGGGCTGCACTGAGCCCGGGAGGAGTCCACCCCAAACCCAGGCTGCCCCGTCCAGCTGACTGAGGGCAGTCGCAGGGGCACCAGGGAAGCTCAGGCTTCAGGACCTCCTCCCAGGCCCCTCCCAGGCCCCTCCCGACCGCAGCCACCATGAGATCAGCTCACCTGTACAGGCCCTCTTGGGACCAAATCTGCCCCAGGCAAGAGGGGGGCGTGTCCTGTGCAGGGCGGGCAGCTGGGCCCCTCAGGACCGTTCGCATGGGCGGGGATGCCCGACTGCCCCGCTGGCCTGCAGGGGCCGTGGGGCTCCCACGGGAGCCAGACCAGGGCCTGCTGCTTTGGCCCCTGTGGTTCCCACAGCAACAGCAGCCTGTCCTGAGCTCGGTCCTCAGGGCACGTGAAGAGGACCAGTCCCCTTGGGAGAAAGCCGTCAGCTCTCCAGGCCTTCCCTCCAGGGCAGTCACTATACAAACATCCCACAGACGGAGTCCACAACAGCGGGCAGCCAGGGCCTGGCTCCCAAGACGCACAGACACACGGGAGGCCCTGGACGGCTGTCTCCCCACTGCCCCTTATCGCCCCAACCCCAGCTGTCTTCCTTTGTGTGTGCAAGTCTGCGTGTTTCCTTTGGAAAGTGAACACGTGCATTCTTTTTTACTAGGGATTCTGATGCACAAAAAGAACCATGGTGACTGTGGCCGGCAGCTCTGGAATGGCCCCCGGTGGTCCCGCCTCCAGGAAACCCGTCCCCGAGTGCAGGTTGGACCTGGTGACTGGCTCCTAAGACCAGAATGCAGACGGTGGTGATGTCACTTCCAGGGGTGGGCTCACACTCTGGCTCCGGCCCTCCCATGCTGCCCGGAGGCAGCCAGTGGTTGCGTGGGGAGCTGCCCAGGGCAGAGGCGCCCAGCAAGGAACCCACGAGGAGCTGAATCCCACCCGCCACCTCCCAGTCGGTTGTGGGTGGTGAGACGGTGCCCCACCGCGCCCTGGGGGGAGCCCTGACGGTGAGGGCGCTGACGTTTTTGTCCCCAGCTGCTGTTTTCGGGTGACTGTGATACAGAAATAGGTAACAATACAGCTAGTAAAGAAACTGAGAGCGAAAAATAACACCACACATTCAGTTGTCAAATGCAGAGGATTTTTTTTCCCTGAACTCCGGGTTTGCGGCAAAGCAAAATTGTTTCTAGTTGGTTAACAGTGAAAAGGAATGTGTGACTTAATATAATTTAAAGAAACATTGGCCGAAGTTAAAAGGACTCTTTTCCATACGGAAATGAAAAGGAGGAAAGTAGCGTAAGAGCCCGCCGCGCGTCTGCGCTTCTGTGGGGCGAAGGGCGGAGGCGCCGCTTCCCGCCTGGGACGCGGCCGCGGGCAGGGCTGAGGGACGCTTACATAACGGACATCTGGGCGTCAGTACGAGTAATAAAACTTCAGGTCTTCAGAAATAACACCCACAAGCACTGTTTTTTTCACCTAAGCCTGCGCCGTTCTCTAAGGTTCAGAAAAGGAGCCTGTACTGGGAAACCCGCACCCCTGCCGGGGGACAGTGGCGGCGGGAAGCCCCGCCCCCGACCGCGAGGACGGCTGGCGCCGCCGCCTGGGGGGCGGGGGGCTGCCACCTGCCAGCGCTTGCAGGCAGGGCCTCGGCTACACTGCTCCTTGTCGAACTCGCTCAGGAGTGCATGGTGAGGTGTTCAGGCCACGTCGTTCCTGCCCCCCGGACGCCACCATCTACACGCATTCCTTCCTCGTCGTAGGCTTTGTTGGGCTCCCCTCTGCTTCCACTTGTTGAA